CGAGACTGATTGCAGTTAAAATCCACAAAAAAGCGCTTAAAAACGTCAAAAAAGCTCTTAAAAAAGCTATAACTTCTCTAACGGTTTTAACTTATTATATCGAATTTTCTAACGCTACACAGATTATTAAATCCAAAGTTATTTTTTTTATAATACGTACAATTTTATTTAAAGTTAAACAAATTAAATTTTTTGTTAATTATTTGTATCGTGTTAGAAAATTGTATTTAATAATCCAGCATCGTTAGATGGGGGACCTTTAAACCCTTCTAATATTTGTTCTTATAATATTTATTTGAGGTATAGTTTCATGGTATTTTGCGTTTTATTTGTGAATTTTAAGTGCAATAGGTCCCGAGCCCTACTTATAATTAATATACGCGTCGGTTTGATGGCACTGCGCAGTGGCGAACGCAAGTAGAGGTTTTGATAGCAGTACTATAGTAGTATCTGCGTAAGAAATTGCATCAACTGTTGCATTAATATTGATACAACACGCGCTAAATCTATTTGGAAAATTAATTCAGTTTAAATTGTATACGGTAAAAAAAAAACACGCGGAGCTACAAATTTGCCGGAGAAGCAGCTTAAAGAAGAATAATGGTGTTCTATAAATCATAAAGCAAATAACACTCCTATATTTTACTACTGTACTTTGGGATTATCATAATATCTCGGGTACTAAGATTTTACGTGTTATTGGTGATGTATAAAGACCGAACTTAATTCATATTGCAACTTTTTTTGCAATAAAGATAAATCAGATCTAATTAAATATATAGCGGATATATAATAAAAATATTCTACCTATTTAATTTTATAATGCAATTTTTGTTCAATTTTCCTACATTTTTAAATCATAAGCATTTATCGTTCGTCTGAAATTTTTTAGAAGCTGGGAGAGCCCAGCAAGCAATAAGTGTCTGTATATATATATATATATGGTGGTAATTAAATTGAACGTAGTAGTACAGCGATTCATGTGCGTTTACCTATTGGTACCTTAATACCTATTTCTTTGATCAGTTTGACCCCACAGTGAATGTATTGACGTAACGCCTAAAATAAAATAAACTTTAAAAGTAAAATTTCGAATTGGATTGCTCCTTACAATGGAAATAAAAAAGTATTTTCATCAGATGGTAAGGTTATTATATTGTCTCGTATGTAACAAATCTGTGTCTACTGAAAAATAACTATTAAATCATCATTCCAAAATAAGTAAGATTTGTATTTTATGCTCATACTACACGTAATATATTACATATTATTTCAAAAATGCATGTATATTTTTTTAAATTCAACACATAAATACATTAAAAAGGAGTAAAGAAAAAAACAGATTTTGATTACTTCTCAAAATTCGAATAGTAAAAATGTATTTTTTGAAGATTTATGTAATGCATTTGTTGCTGCAAATATCCTTTAGCATAAGTTGGGCTATTATTTATTAAAATCATTTTTGGAAAATCATATTGGCAAATCAATTCCGGACGAAAGCACTTTAAGAAAAAATTACATACCAAATATTTATAAAGACTTTATGGACCAAATAATTAGTGATATTGGAAATAATTACGTTTACATAATTGTTGACGAAACAACCGATCCTTGAGGTTTGTATAAATAATTTTTTTGATTTATCATATAATAAAATATAATATTTTCGTTTAGGTTTGGCTATTGCAAATGTATTAATTGGTAAATTAAATGGGACGCTTAGTAAATCATATTTAGTTGCATGTAAATAATTAGAATCCACCAATTATGAAACTATTTGTCAGTTTATTCATTCCTCGTTAAAAATATGTCCTGGTATTGAACAAAAAGTATTACTTTTTATAAGTGATGCTGGTACTTATATAACCAAAGCATCAAAAATATTAAAAATATTTTTTCCGAAATGAATTCATATTACATGTATGGCGCACGCAGTTAATAGAATTCAAGAGAAAAATCGAGAATTGTATCCTGACATTGATAAATTGATTAACATTGGTAGTCTATTAAGTACCAATTTAAAATTTAAATGTATATGTAATTTCTTTCGTTTAATTCAGGAAAAATGTTTTCCTAAAAGCACCATCGAAAATAAATAAATACAGAAAAGAAATGCCGTGTAAAACTTTACCACCCGAACCTATTATTACAAGATGGGGAACATGGTTAAATGCTGCACTTTTCTATGCAAATAATTGTGAAGAGTTTAAAAACGTGATTGAAAGTTTAACAAATGATGCTACAAGTGTCTAAAAGCTGAAAAAGCTTGCACAAAATAATGCATTCAAATGTGGTCTAGTTTTTACATTGATAGGTACTATGTGGATAAAATTGTATGACAAACAGAAATGCTTGAAAACTTAACACGATTTTCATTATAAATTGTACTTTGTGGTTGAAAAAAAGTATAGTGTAATGTAGGTTTTTTTATATGTATTGGGTTTAAAATCAAATTATAATAAAAATTGTAAACATGACGGCATTTTTAAATCTGTTTAACTAAACTTTGCTTAGAATTGCATTTCGTTAACAATGATTTATCGTTGATTACAGATATAAATAAAATAACTGTATGTATCCTACTTACAGTGACACACCCATCAACAGTATTAGTTTTTTTTTTATTTTTCCTCTCAATAAAAACTATCTACCAAACATTTTGCCCCAATTATCAACCTAAGGGCTGATGGTTTTTAGAAAAAAATAGATATTATCCAGTTGGTGCAATGTGGAGATCATTTTTTTTTTATTTTCCTTGTTGTTCTATTAATAATTAGGAATAACATTTGTTATGTTTAATTTTTTTTTTATTACAGTGAAAAATAATTGTAGAGACCGGAAATTTCACAAAATAATTAAATATAAGCTTATTTATATACGATTGTAAACTCTTTCGAGACACTGTACAGTTTTCAAAATATTCTATAATATTTTCAGATAGACATTTGAAATGTTAGATTTGTATTTGGTTTTAAATCAGTATAATTGTTTTGGCACGGCGAAAATGCTCAGAAATTTAACAAAAGTTGATCATGAGCTACAATTAACAATCAATTTTTTTTATATTCGTTTAAATTTCAAATTTTAATGAAAATACAAAAATATGTACCTTCCCATGCAGTTCCGCTTCAAATAAATTGTAAACACACTTTACAATTTCTGAAAAAAGAGTACAGATGAGGAGGCCACCCGCGCCCCCCCTTCCAATTTGAGTACTAACGGAAAATATATATAGCAGTTATCCATCTAAAATATTATCTATTTCTGTGCAGTGATAACAGTGATACAATGTTATCCAAAACCGTTATTGCGTAAACGGATTCGGTGTTCGACTCCCGGTGTCGCGGAATTTTAATATCTCCGAGGGGGTAAGTAACATCTGGAAGTATTTTTACCGGGCGAGATTATAATCCCGAAATGATCCGTAATGCTTTTAAACAAACTATTGTATTCAAACGTGAGGAACGTATTGGTTTTACCATGATGCGTGAGGTGTGTGTGTGTGTGTGTGTTTTGTTCTGTTAGCGACAAACATAGACAAACAAAATACCCAAATAACAAACTAGTAACTATTATTGAAGTCAGACGCCATTTACAGGTTGGGCATAAACGATAGTGAATTATTGAACGGTTATTCTTATTATTACATTGTGTTCATTATGAGATAATAAACATCGAATCGGTGTAAAAATCGATAATACTTATATCGATTTCGATTGCCTATTTTGCAATCGTTTTTGTCCCACCTGTAAATGGTTGAAGAATTCAAATTGTTGTCAAACCAGTGTACAGAGATTGCAATCTAGTTATTTTATATATCTATGACGACAAATTATAATATTGTCAATTTGTTATCAAGTTCGACGACCGACCCGGACCAATTATTATAATATTACGATATTTGTGATACCGCTGATATTATAGGCAGGTACCGAGAATTGTTTGAGTTCGGCGTTTCGACAATCTCACGGGGAAACCGCAACGTTCTCGTGGATGACGACGTGCGACGTTATTGTTTTACAATACCTACTGGAAAATCGCACTCGGCACTAAAACGTACACATCGCAAAAACCTATTATAAAACAATAAAATATTATAATAGGAAAGCTGTACGATATTCATAATCGCGTAAACATAGTCTGAAAATACACAAAACTCGAGCCCAATGGGTTTCAGACCTAATATCAAAGACTTTAATTATTTCAAATATGATAGGCGTATCATGCGGGGGGATAAGAGGGCCTAATACCCCTCCTCTATCTCCTCTAGCCTTCTCAATATTCCTTACAACTTCCCTATAATGAGCGTGCATTAAAAGGTTTGCTTGTTACCCTTTTTTTTTCTGCAAAAATGTACGGAACTAGTACAGTTCAATCCCCTCAGGCAGAGGCAAGTTTAACGGGGCGTATAGGGGGCAGTTGCCCCCCGCGGCAAAATTGCATAATTATTTATGGGCGGCATTCGTTTTGTAACTTCTGTGGGTTCCTTTCGTCATAAACTAATTTTTCCATTAGGAATTTTAAATTGTATAAATGTAAAAATATTTAAGAATATTATATGAAATATATACATATTTTTAATAATATCAAAACGTATACCTATCAATGATCTAAATAAGACTCGAATAAAATGTGATCAGAATGCATTTGAGACTCGATGGATATTTTTGTACACGGGTATTATTGTCAATTAGTGACGATAAGGCGCAACGTCTCAATATTTCCCAGTCGTGTTGAATAATTTATCTATTTTTAAATATTATTGAACAGAATTAAATTATTTCCACGTTTTGTTATCAACCTCAGTATTCTTATCATACACATGTACCTACAGTTGCTACTCACTGGGTATATTATAATAATTTTAAGTCATTAGTTACCAGTTACGGCTCAGTGTTCAGTGGACATTTTGTCGTCTACAACATATTATACGACCGTCACCAATTGTTATTTGTTATTTATTAAATTGTTATTTGATTTTTTTTAAATTTTAATTTTAAATGTCTTCAAAAAGAATGAAATTTGGTGGGGCCGAATACGAACAATTTTCAAAATTGGAACAATTGAAACGAAAAATGCCAAAAATACAAAATTTTTTTGCGGCATCAATGGTAAGTACTTTACAAATAGTTTATTATTAATTAGTTATACAATTAAGCTCTAAAATATATTAGCTATTATTTATTTTATTGTTATTTTATAAAGTGCAGTTATTACTTAAGTTGATTTTTTACATACAATATGTTTTGAGCATTTAATTTCCGAGTATATACTAATTAATTTATTTAATAAGTTAATCATTTTGTTTTAGTTAATTATTAATGATCAATCACATTGTTATTCTGACAAAACGCCTGATGAAAATGAATCAAAAAAAAAAACGGTAAAATATGTATTTATTACTCAATATATATATATATATATTTCTATATGTATACTTATGTACCTAGTTAATAAGTCGATAATTTTAGTTTAGTTAATTATTGACGACCAATCAAATTTTAAGTATTCCAAAACGCCTGATGAAAATGAACCAGAAAAAAATAATGAAGTATGTATTTGTTACTTAATATTTAATATAAATATATTTCTGTATTAATATTCGTGTATCTATTCAATTTAGTTGGTTATGGATGGCCATCTTGAATTAATATCTGATCCAGCTTTATGAAAAATTAATAAGTCAAGCATTGATTATTTCATACTAAATCAGCCTAAACAAAATGATGAAACTATCAACTTAAGTACAATAAGGTCAATCGGTAAATACACAAAGCTCCTCCCAAGAGATATTTTTAAAAGAAAAATGCAAAATGGAGAAACTACATTTAGAGATTAGATTTTGTACTCCAGTTTAAAAAATGCATTATTTTGTTTTCATTATTTATTGTTTGGTAGGTGTAAAACATTATTTGTGGATCAAAACAGAGGTTTTACCAATTGGAAAAATTATTTTCAAAAAGTTGGTGATCGTGAAAAGTCAGCATTTCATGTTAAATCAATACAAATTTGGTACCTTGGAGTTTCTAAGAGTGGTCAAAGTAGAATAAAAGATATTATTAAAAAGGAAATGTCTGATAGTTTGTCATACTGGAAGAATGTATTACATAGAAACATTAAAGTTACTAACTTCCAGAGGTTTGACAAAAAGAGGCTCAAATGAAACACTTGGATCTGTGAATATTGGTAATTATCTTGACTGTAACTTATAGCTACATTTGATCCTTTTATAAGTCAGTATTTAATAAAATATTGAAGCAAAGATCGTGGTAATGGATCTTACCTATCATCAATTTGTACAAAATTTATTATGATTATGGGAGAAACTTTTATTAAAGAAATAGTGAAACAAATTCAATCGCGGAAATATTTCTCCATTATTGTTGACTCAACTCCAAACATAACTCAAATTGATCAACTAACCATAAGAAGAAGGTGTATTATGTTTTTTAGATTTTCTGTTGAAAGATTTATTTATTTTCTTCAATCAGTTGACCATAAAGGAGAGGATATGGAAAAATCAATTATTAATACATTTTAAGAACTAAATATAAGTATTGAAAATTGTCGTGGTCAAGCATATGATAATGCCTCTAATATGAATGACATATATATGGACTTCAATCTAGAATTAAACGTTACGCTCCTACTGCTGAATTTATTCCTTGTTCAGCACATTCCTTGAATTTAGTGGGATTTAACGCAGCTGAATCTACTTCATTTGATACATAATTGTTTTGTAATTCTCTAAGGATTTATAACTTTTTGCGGTATTCACTTATAGATGGGATTTATTATTTAAACACATTAAAAAACGGTCAACTATACGTTGGTCTTCTAGATATGATATATATAAGGCTTTTTCTCTTGAATATAATCAAATAAAAAATGCATTGAAAGACCAAATTTAAAAACAAGAAACTCGCCATGGAGCTTATTCAAGATTAAAAAGTATTGACACATTTGAATTTGCATTTGTGATATGTTTATGGACGCCAATTTTGAAACGTTTTAACACAACTAGTGTGAATTTGCAATCAACAACTATTGATTTATCAATTATAACTAAACTATATGAATCGTTAGAATCATATATTAAGGATATAAGAAACAATTTTGATTATTATTTACAAGCAGCCCAAAAACTAAGTGGGAAGAAATATTTCAAATCAACTACTTTAAGAAGATAAAAAAGAGTAGTGTTTTTTGATGAAACATTAACTTATGAAGTATTGTTTGAAAAAGCAGATAAAATGAAAAATTATGTGTTTTTGGTAATTTTAGATCATTTAATTAGTGATTTAAATGTTAGAAAAATGTCATATTCTAAAATAAAGATTTTGGATTCTTTAATTTGGAAAAAGAAAATATTAAAACCATTAAGAAAATCTCATTAAGTTATATCCTATGATATTGAGTATGATTTAATTAAAGTAGTTTAATTTAGAGGTATAATATGTTATTTTGACATTGAAAAGAAATCATCTCAGTTCAATATTTTGAAATCTTTAATTGACACACAATTGCATAATATATTTCCAAATATTGAGATGGGTTTGAAAATTTTCTTTTCATTTCCATGCTCAAATACGTCAGGATAATGTTCTTTTTCTGTACTAAAGAGAGTAAAAAACTATTTAAGATCTTCATTGGCAAATGAAAAATTGTCAATGCTATCTGTTTTATATATATAAAAAAATATTTGAAGAGATTGATTGGGAAAACATCATTCATATTATTGCTATAAAAAAAGTTATTTAAAATCAATTTTAATTTTAAGGTTTATATTTGATTTTGTTTTTTTAAATAAAATTTAATATTTTTGTTTTTTATATTTAATTTTATGAATTTATCTTACTGCTGTAAATTTAGCACATCAAACATTATGTATACAAATTAAAAATTTATTTATATTTGTTAGTATATATACACCATAATGATTAAAAGAATTTACTCATAAACTATTATGGTACCCGGGGAATAAATATACAATATACCTTTTTAAGTTTTCATTAAAATATCCACAGTTTTATATTCTAAGATAAGCAAGATTGATCTATTTGGTTTTACAATAATGTATTGATGTGTCTTTTTTTGTGTATGTTATGGCTCGATTTTCATATTATTTACTTTATGGATCAGACATTTTGTTTTCATAGTAGCAAAATATCAATTATATTAGATATGATTGATTTATCTATTATATTGTATGCAGTGGGATACATACAGTTTCTTTCTGTATGGTGATGGCTACAAAAAAATCAGTGTCAAGCTATCTGGGGAATTTGATCAACTACTTTTTAATTTTGATAATGATCGAAATTATGTGTGTGGGGGGGGGAATTTATAAGTCTGAAAAAAATGTGTGTCCCCTGCGACACTTCACCTCAACATGGTGCGGGCACAGCCCTCAGGGCTTTAGGTGACCCATTTTCACATGTATCTGTGTATATTATTGGAAGCTTCTGTTGGGAAAATGAAAAATTGAAACTGTACCGCGACATACGTTTGACGTGTCGAAAAACCATTAACCGGTATTTTACCAACCGCGGGCGTTAGAATAAAAATTAATAATATCGTGTAGACGACCGTGCGTATAAACCCGTGGTCGTTATTTCGTTGCTGTCGAAATGCCACCGGAAAAATATAATGGATATGGGTACTCACCGCTAATATTTTCGCCGAACAGCCACGGCCGCCGCCACCGCCGCCGGCAGTTGCCGTTTCCCGATTTCTTGACGAACGATCACCGCGACGACACTTCGGTTCAACTCGTGTAAAGAAAACGCACGCGCGCACGGACATTCGCGGACACGACAAGTGACTATAGAAAAAAAAACTCGACGCAATATCATTACGCACACGGTCGAACGGGGAGAGAAAAAAAAATTAACCAACGTTTCCCGTGCTCGAAATATCAACCAGTGTGACCGGTCTCGAAAGGGTCGTGTACTCAAGGGCGCGCCCAAAGGAGGGGCTAACGGGCTTAAGCCCCCCCCCCTCAAAAAAAAAAATCACAGTATTTTGAGATTTTTAGAATTTTATAAAAAATTACGTACCACAAAACGGTGTTAATGCAGTAGTAGCCGAGTTCGATTTTTGGTACCGGAAATTCCAATGCCCCAAACATTTCATTTCCGAATCGATGCATTAAACTTGTGTAATGAAACTGTTTCAAACTCTATGTTTTATATTTTTAAAAATATTCTCAACATTGCTCGTTTCGACTTTCGGATTAATTTACTTGTTTGAAAATAATTTTAATTAGCCCCCCCTCGAAAAAAATCCTAGGTGCCCCCCTGGTCGTAGTTCCGGACCGGCGATCTATGATCAGTGTTACCAACATTCGCGACGTGTTATTTGATTGGTCGAACGATTCGCCGTCGTCTCCAGATCGCGGTGAAAGACGAAGCTCGTTGACACCGACCAGCGTATTTCACAGAATCTCCGTATTTGCGCGTATTGCATTCAATTATTACAATCGGGTTTTTGGAGCACGCGTAATAAAATTCCCGATAGATGGCGATAAGATAACCGGCACATTAATTAATTGCGATTATATTTTGACCTCCGTTGGAAGGGTACGGGTGCGGAGAAAACTCATTTGACTCATCAATTATTACTTATCTGCGAATAGGCGGTTCTGGAATTGTTTGGTGCGCCGTTTTTTTTTTTTTAAAATATGTGATGAACTGATGAAATACTTTAATATTATTTTGACCAGGGCCTAAAACAGTGTGTCCTCTCTGACACTAAGTCTCCTCCACAAATTACAAACGTGTGAACCGAGTTTTTATAACGTGTATATCAGTTTTAACCGTAGAAATAACTACAGTAATTTGGAACTTAAACACAAATATGTTTTAATTTTTTCATCTCAATTTAAATTAATAATAACTTGCTCGGTATCAACTGTACACAAATACCATAAATAAAATAATGTATTAAAAACTCCTAAGATATGCCATCAGTAACGTAACACAATCCACAGACAGCCGTATTGTAATAGTTAAATGACAAATTACGTCATTCTAAGGCAATGGCGACACAAAAAATTTCAATATCCGTGGGACAGTAACATTTTTTTCAAACTACCGACTCTTGAAATGGATTTTTAATTCGTCTATCCAAAAACTATCTAGAATCCGGTGGCGACTGAAAATGACAACTACTCAATTCAAAAGATGCCAGTCATCCACGCACCCACTAAATTTTTGTCTGGGACAGTTGTCCCGAAAAATCTCGACCGCGTCGGAATTGTGTAGTAAGGTACACGAGAAAGTCACCAAAAATGATATCCAGGTGTTACAATGATTTACAATGGTAGCACTTTTTCTAAAAGGAAATGTGGTTAGGGAGGTTCTATAAGGAAGTAATTTTTTGATTTTCTCAGGAGTTTTCCCAATAAATGGAAAAAACTGGAAAATAGGCAAAATATTAAACAAATATTATTAAAGATAATATATAATGCCCATGTTATTATTTTACCATAATATAACACATATATTGTTGACAAAGCAACACTATCACCTGGACTCCCCTCAGAATCGATTTTTCGTTGGTTTATCGTTACACATTCAATTTTCCCTGAACTATCTTCCCAACTTCTCACTTACAACAGTGCACCCGCGTGCGAAGTATGTCCGTCTTTTTAGTCCACACTATTTAGAA